GGGGCGGGGACCTCAATCCCCATCCTTGACCCCGACCCCGATTAGGGATTTTTATTAATCCCCGTCCCCGTCCCCATCCCCGTCCCGCTAAAACAATCCCCATCAGGTTGGGAAAATCGAATCCCACGCTGGGATGGGAAAAATTGCCATCCCTATCTCTGTCCACATGACAGAAATATATTTCAAATATGGCAGGTGATGTAGGAAAGCTCTCAACTTGGCACAAACAGGTTTGCCGGTGATGAAGGACGAAATGACATGTCAGAAAAACTTAATTGGGATCTTGTTGTGCATGACACTATACCTTTACCATGAGTTTGGGGTAAAAGAACATTTGTAAATATAGCATATGATGGGTCAGGACTTCATTATGTATCTTGTTGTTATGAATGAATGAAATCTGGTCTGCTCTGCGTGGAATCAGTGTGAGGGAGAAGCAGGGGATCTTGCAACTGAGTATAGCAACAAACTCGGAATGGTTTTACTTTTACGACATTAATCTTGACTGCCTTATATAGGTTGTAGTAGGAAGGCGACGCTTTTAGCTGAGTTGTATGAGATGCTTTGAGGTTCAAAACCCACAATATTGGATCCAGCTACTCAGGTGGAAGAGTTTGCAGGGGCACGGGGAAATGATTTTGACTCAATTCCTGAGTCAGGATGTTATTTGGGGTATTGGCCCAGGAAAGACATGGGCCAATTCTATCATTTTTTTAGGGAAAATTCCTTATCAGTATTCTATACTTTAGGGGTTGTGTCAAGTCAATCACTGAATTTTAAAACATGTTTCTGTATTATCCTGAACTTTTAAATTGTGTCTAATAGGCCCCTATTCTATAAAAAATATTAATAGATAAGTGAAATGATAGAAGCACCCATCAGGTTGTCACCTAATTTTCTTTTTCTACCACTTTCACATAAACCAATTCAAGAGATAAGCAACATGAAATGGAAGCACTTCAGAATGGTAATGGTGGCGGAGAATCGTTGCATTCGTTAATGTTGAGTTCCTGCAGTCTTCTTTTGCACGTCGGAAGAGCGGGAGCTTCAACAGTTGAGTATTTTGAATTTCTGAGACTTGACACAACCCCCAAAATACAAAGTACTCATCAGAAATTTTCCCTTTTTTAGGGGTCTTATCTAAGTTCAGTACTTCAGTTTTTTCTGAGTAACGTTTGGGTTGTCTGGTATGCTTGAGTTACTTTGGGTTTGTTGTCTTGGTTTTGGACTGGATAGGGGCGAGGCCCGGCCCAGGCTTCTTTGGTTTTTTTTTGTTCTTTGGCTTCCTATTTTGTCTTGTCTGGGCCAATTGGGCTTCGGTCTTATGTGGACCTTTTCCTTAAAATGCTGCTTTTGAGCGCAAATATTTTTTTAAAAGAAAGTTGGAGTTGAAAACAGCAGGACCGACAGGCTCGACATTAATGGGCATATTTGATTATATACCGATTATACTGTACCGACTACCGACCTATCACGGATGATATTTGGATTTATTACGGTACCATAGAAATAGAATCCATGTCTTAGCTTAATTTTAATTTTCAAAATATAAAGTTACAAACAAGAAATCAAAAAAGAAAAAAGAAAAGATAAAGAGACGGAGGCTCTTATTTTCTCATATGACAACAAACTGCTGGGATGAAAATTGATATATTGCACCTCTATAGTTCAATACTCTTTAATTTGGTCATATAATTTTTTGTTTACATTGTATGTGAAAAGTCTTGAAATGTCAAAAGAATATTTTTCCCTGTTGGACGAGGTGACATCAAAGGTAAAAGTGACCTCTATGTTCATCAAAATTTGGCTTCGGGTGGGCGGGTGGGGCGTGTTTGTCAATCTGCTTTTCCAGTGAATTATTAAAGCGTATGTTCCGTTGTTCGTCTTATTTCTTGGACCCATCAATTATAAATAAAAAAAACGTTATTGGTATTGGTTATTTTTACCAAAGTTTTTAAAATTGGATTGGATATAGAACCGTTCTGGGTTCAGTTCCCAGGTTGAACGATCTAACTGTCTGATCCGAATGGACAGCTCGTCCAAACAAAAAAAAAAATTAAAAAACACAAAAAATGGCAAAAAACTGTTCTTGAGTCTAATGGTTTGACTGCCCAGGTTAGCAGTTTATTGACCAAATCAATGGTTTTTGGCCAAAAAACGATTTTGGGGTTAAACAGAACTAGTCAAGTGACTGGTTTCCGATTTTTTCACTTCGACCGTCCAGTCTGATCCAGTTTTGAAAACATTGGCTTTTACCCTTCACCATTGTCTTCATCGAGTTCTATCTATGCAAGGTTTTGTCATGTTTGTGCTTTAAATTCTTTGTGGTGACTCGTTTCATGAACCCACTCTTAAATAATTTAAAAAAAAACCCAAAAGCATCAAGGGGCGTAACCCCATGGTGAGCGAATAAAGACCCAATCCATATTCAACTTATATGTCCAAACCAAATAGGAAGAATTATGTATTTCTAGGTGTTTTCTCTTTTATATACTTAGTCTTTTGTCTTGTGTGAGAAAATAGAGACATTGAATGTGTTTCGGGGTTTAAGTTTTCTTTTATGATTGATGTTGTGACTTGTGAGTGCATATTCTGCATTTCTTCTTCATTATTGACTACATCGTGGATTTCTGTTTCTCCTTTTTCCGTGTACGTAAGTTATAAACCCAACAATGTAAATCTTGTGTTCTCTGTACTTACTTTTCTTTATTTCTTTTACTTTTATTTAGGTGACATTCGAATCTTTTTTTTTTCTGGTTTTTCCACAACTAATTTAATAGGTTCCTTCAATTATCTTTTCTTGTGTTTTCTTCAAGTCGGTCGTCTGGCAGTTGACCTTTCAATCCTAGGGCTACGGTGATAGCCGACCCTGAGGCCCTGCCCAGTTGGCTATTTACCCGGCCCGAGTGATGTAGAGTCTGTTTGACCTGTTCTCCTTTGGATGCAGTTGTATTTTTCTTTTTCATTCATTGTCTTACAGATTGGAACTCTACAAGAATGACAGTGGAAGAAGATCAAGTAGAGATTCAAGTTTTACCAGTTTGATTTATTATAAGCTGAAAAGCAAAAGCAACTATCAATAAAATCAAAGCCAGACGAGACCTTTTATCTCTACTTGTCTCTTCTGTTCTCATTGTTTCAAAGCTTCCATCTATCACTCACTTGCTTTTCGGTGTGTCAGTCACCCTGACAGGTATCGGCTCTTAAGTTGGAAATGCATTAGAAGTTTCATTGATACAAGAGATAATATAATAGATGTATGGTTTGGTTCTGATGCCTGTACATGATGCTTCTGCAGCTTGATAATACTGTTTGGTCCAATGTTTTCGTTCAACATCTCTAAGAACCGACCATGAGATGTTTCAGTTTCAGTTATTTTTTCAGTCGATGTATTACAAAAATGAGGTGTTTTTAGGAATTAGAATGTCGGAATCTAATTGATTTTTTCAACTTAAATATCAAGTTTAAGCATGTGTATCCGGAAGCAAATCAATCGATAGACTGGTTAGCTTGTAAAGCTCTTAACAGCTGGGAGTGTAATAATGAATTTAGGTTTAATGATTTTCTTTTTATTTGTGATTCGGATGTAAGAGAAAGAACTACCTCTGAGTTTGGTGGTTTTGTTGCATCAAGAGGGTCTCTCTTCCCATCCATATAGCAGTTTTCGGATGGAGAGGAGAGATGCAAGCTCTCAAAGTAGTTCTAGCTAGTTGTGGCAGAGTTGAGAAGCTGATACTGGGATAGGATTTGATGGCGGCAACCAGAACTGTAGCCTATCCCAGTCTTCTTATTGTTTCTCATTTTAGATAAATTAAATAAGGCCATATTTGATTTATTGTTTTGGGTTTTATTCTATTAATTTTTGCTCATTCTAGGCAAGAATGGAAATGAATGAATAACATTAGAGTGTTTAGTTACAAAATTCTTGTCCAGTGCTACATTTTTTTTAGAATGAAAAATCAGCTTCATAGCACAAAAATGGAATAGCCTGCAACATGAAAAATAATCATTCCCCATCTTACTCATTTCATTATTTGAGAAAACTCTACTTATAAAACTATTGCCATAAATGTTTGCTCTTGTAAAAACATTTTTCTTTTCTTGTTCATTAATAAGTCTTCACTTGAAAATGCAATTAGATCCTATTCCAGTATTCCAACTTGAGTTGAACAAGTGAAGTGGACTGTACCTGTACACAAACCATCTTTATCTCTTACCCTTACCTGTGCTGTGCTGGGGTCTATTCAATCCAAGGTGTGGAAGACTTGAACCTTTTTCAGAATAATCACTTTTCCCAAAAATATCATCACATGTCAAGGATCCCTAATTCTCTAAATCCTCCAATCATGACGTGGAAGATAAACGTTGTCAAGGAAAATTGGTAGACCTTGACTTTGAGGCGGTGTTGGAAGGTTCCCATCTTATCTCTCTCTCTCAAATTCCAAGTTTCACGATTAACATACTTTTGTCTTCTTGTGCTTTCCTCGTAGCCCACAGGCACAGAGTTTCTTCACACCAAAGATATGATTCATCTTGTGATTGTGTATTTTGTGACAACTACAAATTGGATCCTTCGTACGTATGAGCCTATGCCTTTTTTTTTATTAAGTAGGTTAGGTGACGGAAGCAGTTCTAGCTCCTGAATCCCGATCCTTGTTATGTATGGAGTGATAAGCGGAATTATGTTTGTGGGTTGCACGTGGTCAGGCGTATTTATAAATAATATGGGCCATATTGGAGGAGGTAATGTTATATAGACTCAATTTGGAAGTAGTACAAATATAAATATGAACAGTATAAATTAGACTTTGTTCGTGATCGGATAATCTGATGGCTCGATCCGGTCCCAAAACGGGTTTGGACAAGTTTTTAAGCCTGAGGGCTTGACCGGGCCAGGTTTGAAATTTGTCAAAAAAAAGCCTGGCGCAAGCCCGTCCCGACTTGATCTGTTATATAATATAATAAAATATATAATTATTGTATAATTTCTAAACCCTGAACCGACTTACCCTTTCCCTCTTTCTTGTTCTCACTTCTCACTCTCAGAGAGTTGAAGCAGCAACCACTAGCACCAAGTCACTAACGAACCAGTAATCTCAGCGAGGCAGCGAAGAACATAGGCTAGCAGCGGCAGGCGGCAGCCATTGTTTCCTTTTCCGGCGAACTTAGGTAGCAGCGAGCCGTGGTCGTTCCTCTCATCAGTCATCTCTCATCTATCTCCGGCGAGGTGGTGGTCTCATTTCAGATTCCTAGATAGTAGCGACCGCCGATCGCGATCTCATCTCAAATTCTCAAATAGTAGCGACTGTCCATTCAGCTTTGATGAACTCTGTTTCTTTTGTTTATTTTGACTATCATTCTAACTCTGTTTTTTCAATAGCCTAAAGAACTAAGGCTAACACAATATATTTTTTCCATCTCATGTGTTCTTTCAAATATAGAAAATCAAAGAACTTATCTCCAATGCTAGCAATTTTTGGGTAGTTGAATTTTAGTGTCTTCAATGTTGCATCCAATCCACTGCTAACAATTTCCCAAATTATTCACAAATAGTCTAGCTGGTAAAATATATAGGAATTTAGTTTTATTATATATTTATTCATATGCTTGGATATATTAATATTTACATATGCAAATAAACTTTTTTTCTTACTGAATTTTTGTTGTATGTCATTGCCATCAATGTTCCCGGTCAGCATCTAAAATTTAATTTCAAAAGTTCGATGACCTTATTAATGGTTTTGCTTGGAGCTTATAGAGGTGCAAAGTGTTTCTTTGGTGTGTGGTGGTGATTTTTTTAAAGTTTGTTGTTGTAGTCATATTTTGAATCATATTGTGCAAGTTGTTTGAAACTTGTTGATGATGTTGTTGTTAAGATTCATTGTGGTGTGAAAAATATAAAGAAATTGGCTACTTGAAAGCATTGGTTTTATGAACTTGTTGAAAAAAGTTTTCATTTGAACTCAACGAGAAGGTTGAGGTTAGACATGTGTGCGAGATGGAACTCAACTTATTTGATGCTTGAACATGCCATCTATTATAATCAAGTCTTACAACATTGGGGGTAAAGGGATAATGCTTTCAAAATGTTTATGCTTTCGGAAGAAGAATGGGGAAAGGTGGATAAGCTTCACAAATTCTTAAAGGTTTTTTATGATGTTACTTGCATGCTTTCTACTACCAAGTACCATACTTTAAACATTTACTTCAAGGGAGTGTGGATGATTCATAAGCATTTAATTGCAATGAGTAATGAATCTCATAATTTTATGATTGATATGGTTAGAGATATGAAAGAGAAATTTGATAAATATTGGGCTGAATATAGTATGATTTTGTCTTGTGCTTCTGTGTTGAATCCTCGTTGCAAGGTAAGGTTAGTGGAGTATTGTTTTAATAAACTTTATGGTGATGATGCTGGGGAGTGTGTTCATGCTATAATTAAAACACTTCATGATTTATTTGGTGAATGTAAAGAATATTTTTCCTCAATCTCCTTTGTTGGATCTTCTAGTCAAAAGTTGACATGAGTGAGAGAAATGATGATGGTGATGGATTTGAGAATTATGAACAATTTTTGAGTTCAAAAAGAAAATCTCAAAATGAAAAAACTCAGTTGGACTTTTACTTGGAGGAACAAAACCTTGATATCAAGGTAGACGTTGATGTTTTGGAGTATTGGAGTAAGAGTTCACTTAGGTATCCTGAATCGGCATCAATGGCTTAAGATATTTTAGCTATTCCCATTTCCACAGTTGCATCTGAGTCAACATTTAGTATTGGAAAGAAGGTAATCAATCCTTGGATAAGTTCATTTAAACCTAAGACAATTCAAGCTTTAGTTTGTTTTGAAGATCGGCTTCGTGCACAAGGCTTTGTATAAGGTAATTTTTTTTTTATCTATTGCTTATTAAAATATATGATTCCACACTTCTTTGAAATTATTCTAATAGTTTTTTCCAAATGCATGAAGGAGGAGCTCCACCATACGATATCCAATTAATGATGCTAGCGTCACTGGATGAAACCCAATAAAGGTTAGATTTCTTAACTCCATCTCCTCTCTCTCTCTCTCTCTCTCTCCATTTAACCCTGACTGCTTTAGGTTTCAAGGTTACACTGAGCTGCAAGCAGAGAACTCGAGATTACTGGCGACATCTCTTCTCCTCATCCAGTATCCAATGTCAAATGTCAAGCAACTCTCGATCCAAGCATTACATCCTCGACCTGCACTTGATCCTGTGAAGGTCATTGATTACAGTTCCTCTACTGCCTCCATCATTGGTAGTGTACAGGTCGCCTTCCTCACCTAGAGTCCTTAATTGTTGTCTTTGGAATCTGTGTATATGAGTTGATATAGTAGATGGTTGTCTTTGACTAGGTCGATGTCACTCTTTGTTTCGTTAATGTGCTTTTTAACAAATGTTGTCTGAGATGTAATCATTGTTTCATTGTTTGGTAGTTGTTTACTCTCTACATTTGATTACAAGCATTTCACCTATATTTGCTCTAGTTTTAATTAACAGGTTTCTTTATTCAATTTTTTCTTTTTGAATTAATGACTGCATTTTTTCAAGAGTTTTGGTTTGAGTGTTTATTTCATTTCATTGCTAAAATTCTTTGTTTTTTTATCTCTTTAATGTGGAGAAGGCACTCATGGGGGGGGGGTTACGATAAGAAAAGTTAAATTGTGTTAGAATCAGAAAATTCAAAGGCTAGAAACAACAATAATCCTATGTAAATCATGATGGAGGACAATATTCAATAAGAAACTTGGTGGAGCAAGGACTTGGAAATTGCAATGTGAATTAGAACCATGCGAGGAGTTTTCTGGTAATAGTTTCTAAGAACTTGCAACTCTTGATGCAATTAGAAGGACATGTTTTGTTATAGCTATAAACACAATTTTCATTCTATGACATGGAAAAAAGTGAGAGGTATGTAGAGATTAATATCATCATTTTCTACTTGTGTTCATGACATTAGAAAAAAGTGAGAGATTCTTAACCATCGAAATTTACCACATAAAATGTTAAGCATCATTATATTTTGAAGCAGGGATTAGATATGACTTATGATCAAACGAAGAGAGTAATACATTTGAAATTCAGAGTGTTTTTTGGTTGGAAATGAAAGAAATGATGCTACACAAATCTAGGGGTAGTGCATCCCCATTCCCAATAATCCTCAAAAGCTATGTGATCAACAATAGAGTTTGAGACATCTCTTTTCTGGTTCTGCTCTCCCCACTAAGAAAGATAGGATTGGTTATCCTTCTTACAAATACAATTTTTCTTAGTTCAGATTTACAATCCCCCAAAACAATTATTTTTTGTAACCGTTAGTTTAGCTAGATCATCATCCATGCTATTTCCAGATCTAGGAATCCATCTGAAGGAACACCTGAAATATGTAGTTAGAGCATTTATTTTCCTTAACACACATCTGAATCTCCAAGACCTAGCTTCATCATTTCTAGTAAAATTAGGATTTCTTTGGTTAACTTCTATTCCTGTAAACACTAGTTATCCCAATGTATTGTTTGATTCACTTAATCACTTTATTCTGAATAGTCTTATCATGATATCCCTTTTCTAATTGATGGGAAGCCAGATTTAGTTTGCTAAAGACCTATTTTTTGAAAAGTAAAACTTTCAAAGAAAATCAACATCTCAGCCTTATTCCAATTATATGGAGTTGGCTACACTAAGACTTGTAAAGAAAATCATAAGTACAATTGAAAGTTTTACACATTTGAATAAATGTGTTCATTGTCATGGTGGAGTTGTACAAAACCCATAAAAGGTCTTTGTCATTGTTCATGGTGGAGCTGTACACATTTCATGATATGGTTTCCTTTTAGGCACATCTAGGTCAATTTGATGGCTATTTACATCCTCTCTGTATGAGCAGTTGATTTTCAATACATGTTGTCTCTAATTCTTTTTTGTTTTTGCTATTTTCTTGTTTCTGTTCTTGTTAATGTGGCCTTGGATGTGATCCCAGCATTTAACTAGTGGTTCTTCGTCTTTTTTTTTTCTGTATCTTAACTCTGTTATCAGTTAAAAATCAAGTTCTTTTTTTATTACCTAAAAAACTTGACATGGTGGCTTTCTCTTGTGATCATGTCATTTACATTGGATCCAAATTACCAATTCCTTAGCTTTTAGTTTATCAAGAAAGGGAATGGGCATTGGGCCCAAGCATGGGTTGGGCTGGGTGTTTGTCTTCTTTGGGGCCATCAAAGCTGCTACTAGCGACAGGTTTTCCATCAGCTTCTTATTCTCTGTTTTTACATTCTTGCATCCAAACAATAGAAGTGGAATCTAAGGATTAGATCCTAAGAATACAACATTAGCATCCAAACGGCAGAAACACATAATCATCAACTGATTCGTATTTTATGGGTTTTGGAATCAGTTCTTTTCGTCCCATGGGAGGGGTTCATATTTGTGCTAATATCTCAACTGAATGCATTTGGCTTTTAATGCTTAGTCATTTCAGTTTGGTGTGGTTGCAGTGTTGCTGCCTCTTCCATGGCTACTCTGAAACAGCCAACAAATAGAGTTGTAGCCATCATAGCTGAATATGTTCCAGAATCTGATATAAAGCAGCTGATTGCTTATGCACGGGCAAATAATAAGGTGAAATAAGGAGATAGTGGTGGTAACTTTTAGATATATTCACATGATAGATGTAATAGGTCATCAAATTCCAATATTTTGACTTAGATTAACCAACATTGTCAGCCTGATATATTAATAAGTATTAAAAAGAATTCAGATATCCAACTTTCCATTAGACTCCAATGCATCGACCTCCAAAATTATGGCATTGCCAATGATTTCCCTCATGTCAAGATAGTAGGCTCCTTCCCATTTTGAGTATTTATTAAATTTATTTGAACTTCCCTCTTTTCCTTTTCTTGGTTTTGACTTCAAATTCTCTTATGAGCGCAGATATCTGTGGAAATAATGATAGATCTTAGCGAAAGCGCAGATATCTGTGTCAATTGTCTACACCTTCTTCAATGGATCTAGGAAAAATTATTGATTCATCTCAAGTAAGAAGAATGATTTGTGCAATCTTCTGGGTTGATATTTTGTACACATGCTAGTTTTGTCTATCTTAATTCTGGGGAAAAATTACCCAATTTTGCTTTTGACAGAAGGGTGGTGAACATTCATATTTGGAGTTACTGGCTTAAAACCTCTATGGATATGCCTGGGGAGAAGATTTTAATATGTTCATGTCTGAATTTAGATTGTTTTGTACGTCTGTCTCGGTGTTAATATAGGAATGGATCTCATATTTTTAAGACAGCCTATCTTATAAAAAATGACTGGAATCTCCTTGGTTGTTTGTCACACTACTATTTTCATGCCTGCATATCTGAGTTTGAACTTTGAAATATTATCAGATTTAAGTCTGTTCTCACAATGTCAATCAGGTCTTTTATTGTATTCTGTCTATGAAGCTCTGAATTATGTTTACATGGTCCATGTTTCTTTGCACAGATCTTAGAACAGTTAAAGGTATTTGCTGAAGATGATATTAGATGCAACCTACCCTCGGAGGCATTAATGATGTAACGTTAAGTTCATTGAATCTAAGCTGGATATCATCATTCTATGACTATTCTTTCCTTTTTTTTTCAATGATTTTGTCAACACTATGTATGAGACTACAAAGTCTAAGTATCTTGTAAGATCAAGGAATTACTCTATCTGCCTACCTCTTAGGATGTTTTCTATTGAAACGTGTTATTAGAAGAGAAGCATATCCATGAAGGTGATGATTGTGCCTTTAATTCAGTGAACTCTCCAATAATTGTGGCCAAATAAAGGGATTTGTTAAGGTTCTAATCTTCTCTGAAAACCCAAGGATGTTAATGTTTGGGAAACACAAGGCTTTCCCAGCCTATATATTGAGATTCTAATGTAAGAATTAATAAAGATATATATGAAAATAAGTCAGTTAGTCAAACACACTGAATGCAAAACAACGGGCAAGCAAGAGGCAATCTAATTTTTACATGGAATACATTTCAACACAAAAAGCACCCAAGGATATTGGCCAAACTATCTACTATGTGAAAATATGTCATAATTGTCTGTAATCTCAACTAGAGGCTACAATATTGATTTGTATTATGAGACAAAATTTACTTTGTTACACTTTTGAACTCTCGCTTGTATAAAATATTAGTAGTTGTTCTTTTGAATAGTTTATGATTAAATGATTCTCCCTTCATGGAAAGTTTGTATCATGATATGTTTTCTCAAGTGCCAATCAAGAAGCTCTACATGCTAATCGAAATGGCTGCCCAGGGAGCAAAAGATGGAATTGTAGAGGCTATTTACTCTGGTAAAGAGAAGATCGACATCGCTCATTTCTTTGATTGCCATGGAGATGTCATTCCTGTATAATTTGTACATGTGCCACACTGTACAGCTCCTAAAGAGATATGGACAAAGAGATGAGCAATCATGATGTGCTTGCCTTTGCAAGGGACCAGATGCAATCATCTATACTGGAAGTTATGGTCAAGGACAAGGATCTTGTGTCAAAGATGATTTTGTTGGAATTGCCAGCTTCGACCTCAATGAAGTACCTACTAGAGTTTCCCCAGATAGTCCTATTGTCAGGTTTTACCTCAATGATTTTGTTGGAATTGCCAGCTTTGACCTCAATGAAGTACCTACTAGAGTTTCCCCAGATAGTCCTATTGTCAGGTTTTACCTCAATGATGTTGTTGTTGTTGTTGTTGTTGTTGTTGTTGTTGTTATTATTATTATTATTATACTTGTTATGGGTTCTGAAATTTTTCTTTAATTCATGAACTCTAATTAGAGATGAGGTTAGATTATCCCTAAACAAAGCTGAAAAGGAGGTCTTGGGTCAATGCTGCCAAGTCTCACCAAGGATGCCACTACAATTGTTGGTGATGGAAGTATACAGAAAGAAGTAAATAAGTGAGTTGTTCATATCCATAACCTCATTGAGGTGAGTTTCTAGAATTTTAGTCTTCTTTTTTGGAATTTGCTGCTTGTAGTTGTCCAACATCTTTTACATTGTAATGGTCAATACAAATTGCAGAAAAAGATTATGAGAAAGAGAAACTCCATGAAAAAATTGCAAAACTCTCTGGTGGTGTTGCTGTCATTTAAGTAGATTTCTCAAACATGAATGGGGCTTTCTGTTGGTCATGTGGAAATTTAAATATTTGTGTTTATTAATGTTTGTGATGAACATGGATAGGTTGGGACCATGCTATTTAAGTGTTAATGTTTGTAGAGTCAGCATAACCAAATTGAGTTCATTATCTAATCCATCTATCCTTGGACTTCTTGTTTTCTATATAGTTTGAATTCCAAGTGCAGTTGATTTCTCTCTTCTGGCCTCTGTTACTTAACATTATGTCGTTTCTGTTGTGTTTAATCAGGTTATGGTTATTGTGCTGGGGCATGATGAATTACAGAAGGCTGAATATAATCCACAACTGCAATGGGTGGTAGGATGGCTATCTTTTTCAAATTCACCACTGAAAGCAGATTTAATCATTTTTGGAGATGGGCTAATTGGTTCTGTTTGTAAATTCATTGTGTAGAGAGAGAGAGTACGTAGGAGAAATTCCAGCAGTGTAGATTGCTGGAGTTCAGCATGTATTGACTGCAGCAAGCTGCAATGACATTATTATTTTTGAGTATTATGAGAGAAATTATGTTCATTGTCTTCCCTTTGCATTTAATATTTTATTTGCATCCTTTATATGGCTTCTGTGATTAGTTCCTCAAGTTCCAATTTTTGCAATGCAGGGTGTCTGTTTTATTGATCCCACGTTTTCGCATTGACTGGCTTCCTTTTTTCTCCTTATCTTTGCTTTTTCTCATAATTTTCTTCTCTGTTTCAGCTCAATTCACCTCTTTTCCGTTGCCGATGACTATAGTGGGCTGGCCAGGCGGGCTTACTTCTTTGGGTGCGAATCCGATTACCTCGTTATATTTCCCTGGATGTTTTGGTTATTTATCATTGTAACCGTAACAATAAATATTTCATAGCTAAGAAATTACCCCCATCTTATTCATCAAAAAAAAAAAAATACCCCCATCTTCATAAGCAGATACATGCCACCACTTCAAGCTATTGTGTCCATGGATGGGAGTTCTGGATCTTCTACGCCTGGCCAGGTATGTGTCATTTTCCTTATGTAGTGTTCACTTGGGCGATGTACCAAAAGTTCTCTAATGATCTTGTGGTGATCTGGTGTTAAAAAAATTTAGGTACCACATTTGTTTCTTTCTCAAAACCGGCCAAAGAGGTGCGCAACTCATTACCACATTGCTTGGAGCATCTACTGTCATCAGTAGTTTACAAGGATGAATCCTTTCTAGCATGTAGTTGCTGGTTCTGCATCTTTTTATGGGGCCAAGCCATACAATCTCAATGTTGTGCCCCCGACAGAAACTACTATTCTTGGAAACCCATTGCAGGGAAACTTACCAAGTAGGAATTTGAACTCGGTTTCAGACAAGGGCCAAGTTGCTAGCACATTTTCTGGTCATACTACAAAGGATAAGAACTCTGCAGCGGCTGCACCCAACTTTGTGGATGCCCAGAGAAAGCAGCATGTGCTCCAGCAAGCTCCGCAGTCTGCTTCTTCTGGAAATCTGCTGGTATGGCCTCTCCTCTTCACTGAATAATTTACTGGTGATGGTTTAACAAATTTATTAATTTTATTTGCTCTATATGTTAGCATGGTCCTACTTTCATCTTCCCATTTACAGGTGTAAATCGGGCTGTGCCACCCTCCGCCCGGCACGATGGTCCGTGAGCCGTGCCAGGCCTGGGGTTTCAGGTCCACAGGCTGGGCCGGCATGGCACGACCGAGCGGGTCATGCTACCCGTGGCCTGACCCGATAGGGTCCATATATTATTTATATTATATATATAAATATTATATATAATATATAATATATTATATAAATTATAATTATATATGTATATAATAATATATTAATAAAATAAACAATTGTTTTCAATTTTATTATACTAATTTATTTAATTGTTGTATATATAAGCAATTGTATACATCAAAATTCATATAAAATTAAAATTTTAAGTTTTTTTTTCAATTTTTTTAAATAAATAGCTTTGGCCCGGTCCACAGCCCGACCTGGCCCAAGGCTTGGCCCACGGACCAGCCTAGCTCGTGGCATGACACTCTTTCTTCTTTTACTGAATGTTATTCAGTTTTCTTTTGGAACCCTATGCACAAATGCAATTACTTGTATAGATTTTTAATTCTTTTGGTCATTATTCAGTTGAATGTAAAGTGTATTGCACATGAAGTATCTTGGTTAAGTTAATCACAGTTGCAACCAATTTACTTAAAATTTTCAATCTCTCTGTTGCAGCTTGTTTATTCTAAGCTCAGTTGTCATCCCAATGCTACAATGGATTTCGCCTGATGAATGCCAAAACTTTGGTTCAAATGATCTTTGCCCCCTTGGTGGGATTGTAGAACTATATTCCTTTTTACGTAGTGGACTTATCCAACTATTCTATGTAAGTATGCATTATTTTTCAAAAAGCTACTTGAGTCATTTTATGATTTATCTCGTATTTCTTTTCATTATACATGGTATGTGCACATGGCAATGTGTGTTTGTAGGGCCTATTGGTTACAATCAGAACTTGTTTCAGAATTGCATTTCAACTAATCAGTCTACAGTTTAGTCAG